CGTCGAAAAACGGACTCTATGCGTGTTCGCTCCACGCTCACCGCACTATGCAAAGATTTCTGCTCTAACGGGAGTTGGAGCTCTACAAAATGCTTCTCTACAGCCACGCAAACTTTGTTGTTCACTAAGGAGAAAAATTGGCTAAGTGTTGAGAAAGGCATAGATTTGGCACACACAGAAAATTCACTAGAAAGATTGAAAATAGAATAGAACAAGGGGTGAAATAGAAGCTACCCAACCAATGAACCATGCAGAGAACGTTCGCCCAAGAACGTTTACATAACTACTTTTAGCTGCGCTTTGCCAACTCAGCGTCGGCAGGTGAAAATTACAACATGTGCTTAGTAGGTAATTTTTACCTACCTAAAAGTAGTTGTTTTAGCTGTTCAAGTTGTTTTAAACAACTTCTGTAACGCACGTTTTCGTAGTTACGAAAACGTGCGTCAGGTTCATTCTGTGCATGTGGTTCAATTTCGCCCTAGATTGAACACCCCAGTTCCGCGCACTGTTCCCCGGGGTCAATTTCTCAATGTCCGCAATGTTCCGAAATTCCCACGCAAAAGTTCCGAAACGATCGCGTTTTCGCGTCGGAGAGGTTCGTCGGTCGAGAATGTGCTTCTCTGCAGAAATCCGTTTCTGCAGACGCGCCCTCCTCTGCGGAACGGTTTCTGCAGATGCGCACTCTTCTGCAGATGCGCACTCTTCTGCAGATGCGCACTCTTCTGCAGCAGAATCCGCTTTCTGCTTCTCCGAACTCCCTCTGCAGAACTCCGCGCAACCCTCTGCAGAATTCCCTTCGGCGGAATTTCTCCTCCTCTGCAGAATTCGACGACCAACTTCTGCAGGTTCAGTGCCAGCTCAACACTCCCCTGCACTGATCATGCTTGGTCGTCGCAGAGAAAACATTGACCCGTCTACACCACACACTAGAGCAGAACAGAAAGAAAAGAAAAAAACAAAAACAAACATGCAGAAAAACAAACACACAAGGAATTGCAGAAATCTGCAATTCTCACACACCACCGCACCAGCCATGATAAGGTCATGGCACCTATTCCTCGTCGAGAGCACCCTCTGCACTGCTCCCCTTCGGCGAAAGCCTTACTTGACCAACTTTCTTAAAGCAGTTGTTGAACGCATGGAAATGTAGTGCTTTCGTCAAGTAATCTGCCGGCTGCTCGGTCGTCGGAATGTACTGCAGCTTCATCTTGCGACGTTTCACCATGCTCTGCAGCCACATGTAGCGCTGCTTCATGTGCTTCAGCTTTCCCTTGAGCCCCATTCCTTCAGACACAGAAATCGCAGATTGATTGTCGACGTGGATAATCGTTGGTGACGTCTCGTCGAGTATGCGAAATTCTGCCATCAGAAAACGAAGCTTTTGAGCCTCCTTTCCAGCCTCCACTGCAGCGATGTACTCCGACTCTGTAGAAGAGTGAGTGATGCACCTGATCCTCTGACTTGCCCATGAAATAGCAGCTCCGTCTCGCCCCTGCCTTACTCTCTGCCTGGCAGAGCCACTGCAAGGCACGGAAGATTCTAACCTGCTTCTTTCCCCCCATCTCCGTCTCGCCCCTGCCTTACTCTCTGCCTGGCAGAGCCACTGCAAGGCACGGCAGCGCCTAACCTGCTCCTTTCCCCCCATCTCCGTTATCCCCCTGCCTTACTCTCTGCCTGGCAGAGCCACTGCAAGGCACGGAAGATTCTAACCTGCTCCTTTCCCCCCATCTCCGTCTCGCCCCTGCCTTACTCTCTGCCTCACAGAGCCACTGCAAGGCACGGAAGATTCTAACCTGCTTCTTTCCCCCCATCTCCGTCTCGCCCCTGCCTTACTCTCTGCCTGGCAGAGCCACTGCAAGGCACGGCAGCTCCTAACCTGCTCCTTCCCCCCCATCTCCGTCTCGCCCCTGCCTTACTCTCTGCCTGGCAGAGCCACTGCAAGGCACGGCAGCGCCTAAAATGCTATTTTCCCCCCATGTCCGTCTCGCCCCTGCCTTACTCTCTGCCTGGCAGAGCCACTGCAGGGCGTAGAAGGTGCCTAACCTGCTCCTTTCCCCCCATCTCTGTCTCGCCCCTGCCTTACTCTCTGCCTGGCAGAGCCAATGCAGGGCACGGCAGCGCCTAACCTGCTCCTTTCCCCCCATCTCCGTTATCCCCCTGCCTTACTCTCTGCCTGGCAGAGCCACTGCAAGGCACGGAAGATTCTAACCTGCTTCTTTCCCCCCATCTCCGTCTCGCCCCTGCCTTACTCTCTGCCTGGCAGAGCCACTGCAGGGCGTATAAGGTGCCTAACCTGCTCCTTTCCCCCCATCTCTGTCTCGCCCCTGCCTTACTCACCCTTTCCTGAACTCCCTTTTTCCACTTTACAGAAGAGTGGGGACCGGGCTGGCACGTAGACGACAACACGAAGTGGCCTTTTTCGAGCGAAATCTTCAGTGCGGGAATTTTCGCTGCATTCGTGAGATCGGGCATGGCACTGGGGGTATGGAAGACCCGCCAGATTGCCTTTGCATTGTTCGCTGTAAGTACAAGCCCCTTGATTCTGATTTTGATTTTTTTGTTCCATCCTGTCCAGAATCTTATTGCCATTATCGTTCATTGCAGTTGGAATACCCGATCTTGGAGAAGACCGCCGACGGGAAGTTGAGCAGCAAACCCGACTACAACAGGCCATTGTACGAGGAGAAAGTCAAGTGGTGCCGGAAGTGGGTGGAGCATGCCGTCACCAACCTTGGGGTGGGCTATGATGAAGACAGGGACGTGTTTGTGTTTGGCAACGGCATCCTCATTGATGCGAGTGACTACGCGGCTGGATTCAAGAAGACGACTATTGTTCTGCAGTAGCGCAACATGTTTCCCGGATTTGTTGCTTTTATTGACTGAATAATTTATGTTTGTAGACACATTTTTCTTCAGGTGAAGCAAAACAACCTATTAGTATCATTTGAAATCGTTCAGGTTTAGCTACGTAGTAATAATTATTGGTATGAAATATGTAGGAAATAAAATTGGGTGTTGCAACGCTTACATTGTCCATGTTTTGACTGTACAGTAAAATAATTTATCATATTTATTGCTAGGGAATCTCATTTCGACCGAAGCGCGATGGTGGTGGAAATCCGCCGGAAACCGTGTCTGCTTTCCATCGGAAATCATACAGTCCCTTTGAGATGGAAAACCGACGGAAAATACAGTGACGATACAGTACCAGTGCGCCACTCGGTGGAATTCCGTCGGAACAAGTTGAGAATGTTCCGACGGATTTCCATTGGTTGGGCAGAAAACCTAACCAAAACCGCCTGTTTTCAAGCCCGGTTTTTTGTGATGTCAGTGAGTACCATTTTGTAGTTTGGGTGACGGGAGGGTGTTTGTGCCCTGACAACGCAACCCTCACTGGACGCTTCAATTTTTCGCCAACCTCTCGCCAAGCTCATTCGATCTCGTTGTGGCGAAATCTTTTTGGACACTGTTCAAACCGCAACAGTACTTTCAAATGTATACAAACGGACGCGACGAGCAGGTTGTACGCTGCATCTGCGAAGGCTGGAGGAGTGGATTCAATTGCCCCTGATTCAAGAGGCAAATCCCATGAAGAACGAGTACCAGTTTGGACAGGCACGATTCCACCCTGGAACCACAAAATTTTCGTGAGAAGATCATCTGAAAGTCGATCGATGTATGGACCGCAAGAACTACGTCACAAAATTCCTGGCCCTCAGAACATGTCCACAATCGTAGCATTCTTTCAGGTATCCTACGTGAGCTATGTTCGAACTGCTTCCAATCATGCAGGGAACTATGCTTCGACGGTTGGGTTTCGGGGGAGACACCTGCATCCGACAAGTAACAGCGTGTGGGGGTTTAAAGTCAGATCCGCTTCAGTCTAAAGTTCATTCGCTTTGCAATTGTTGATATTCTTTCGTTCATTTGCACCAGCAACTAGGCCCAGCAGTTTGCGTACCGTAGCCAGACTTGTGTGCCAAACCTAGGGTAGGTTCGGGAATGGTGTACAGTATCATCACACCGACAAAACTGGCATTCCTTCAGTCCAGCGTGTTGCGACGTCAACACACCACCCTCGGTGTCAGGAGCATCTGGTTACACGGCGATTTTGTCCAGCGTAGCAAGACCATCACATGCTGCCGAAAACCAATGTTACAACGTAGCATGTGCACAGTTTTCGGCACATGACGAAACATTTTTGTGCTCTGATCGTGGTTCTGTTCTTCTAAAACTCAATCCTGAGCTAGGCAGCCCCGTCACCTCGAGCACCTATTTCAGGCGAGCAAATTCACTAGCGATTCAGGTTTTCTTGCTTCTTGTTGCTTCATTTCGTAGTACTAGTTAATAGCCACGGCCCACCGCTACTATTAGCAAGAGCGCCGTTTAGCGTTGAACGTTTTCTTACTCCTCTTTTTTTTCTATGTTCTAGCTCGTGCGCCAGCCCTAACAGCGCTTGTCGTTCTCTAAGCCGCCCCGTTTTTTTTTTGTTCTCGCTTTTTCGCCAGCTTTAGTGTCGCTTGCCGTTCGCTAAGCCGCCTCGTACTGCCAGCCGCAGTTGCGCAGCGCCCTCCCCTCCTCGTCGACCCGCCCCGCGTCTGCGTCATCGAAATCGACTGGTCGTCCACGGGCGCGAATTAAATTAGTTTTGGATTGTCTCACATCCGCGAGATTTACTAATCGCTTGCCAGGTGATTTACTGCCATTTTGTACGTCCGCACATCAGTTTCGGCACGCTCAGCAAGGGGAGGTGTGGATTGGCGAGTTCCTCGTCTGACGCAGAGACGGCTCGCCTTTCCCCGCCATGGTGCGAGTTACCCTTCACCACCCTGGTGCGCGCTATTCTTCCGAGCCTTGCTGCGCGCTACCTCTCATACCACATTCCCTCCATATCCAAGTCTCTTCGCACCCACCCGTCTTCCCGCCCCCCCCACCCGCCGCCACACAATCGTCTCTCTGCTGCATCTCACCGTCTGCTCCCCGCGCGCGCCACCTCGCAGGTGACGGACACGCTCATTCTGAACCCGTCGGGGCAGCTGGTGGGGGTGATCGGCGTGTCGGCGGACATCAGCGACATCAAGCGCAAGGAGGGCGAGATCCGCGCGCTCAACGCAGCGCTGGAGGAGCACATCGTGGAGCGCACGGAGCAGCTGCAGCGCAACAACAGGTGCTGCGGCGAGAAATGGAGGCGCTCCTGTCTGCGGGGAGCACATGCAGCGATGCATCAAGGTGAGGGGCGGTCATGTCACGAGTTACTACATCCACCTTCGTTGCTGGAATTATCACAGAAGACGCGAAACGAAGAGCTGCGGTACGGTACCACCCACTTGTACCGATCTCTCTGACCTGCGCGCATGGCGGCAGGACTTGGAGCAATCGAGCAGCCGCATATGACAGCAGTCGTTGGTGCTGGAGCGGATGGTGGCGGAGCTGCGCGATGCGCGCTCGGAGGCGGAGTCCGCCAACCGCCTCAAGTCACGGTTCCTGGCGTCCATGAGCCACGAGAACCGTACTCTCATGAACAGCGTGCTCGGTGAGATAAGCACTTCACGATTGAGTTTACCCCACGTAGACTTTAGCCTTGCCGTATTCTCAGTTCCTACCCTCATCTGCCCTTCACTGCCCAGGCATGACGCGGCTACTGCTGTCGACGCCGCTGTCAGAGGAGCAGCACGGCTTCGTGGAGATCTGACACGCGGCAGCTGACACGCGCTGCTGGCCATCTGGATCTGAGCAAGAACGAGGCGGGCGAGCTGGAGATAGGCACAGCGAATCCGGCGTCACTGCGTGCGTCGAGGACAGCGTCATCCTGCTCGCGGTCAGTGCTCGCTTGCTCTGGATCTCTCAACGCTCCTCTGTTGGCTTTTCGACTCTTGACTCGCAATCATTGGTAGCTCCCCCACCCAGATCCCTCGTCGTGCTGCCACCCTCCCATTCCCATCTTGTTATCGCTCTCCGTTCTCTCTCCCCCCCTCTCCCCCTCTCCCCCTCTCCCCCCTCCACCCCGCATCCCCTCACCCTCCCAGCTGCCCCCCTTACCTGGAGTGTAGGTGGCGGCTCTGCCCCGCCCAGTGCGCCAGATCACCCTCAACCGCCTCCTCGCCTTCTCCTGCCAACCTTGCCTCCTCCGGATATTGCTCACGTATGTGCCATGGGTTGGGATGGCATGGGTGGCGTGGGGTGGCATGGGATGTCATGTGCGCGCATGTGGTGGCATGTGGTGGCATGATGGGGCACGGAACATGATGTGATGGCATGGCGTGACGTGATGTGGTGGGCCACAGTTGAGGTGTGTGGCATGGTGCATGTAGGTGGCATGGCGAGGCACGTGGGGCATGGCGAGGCGAGGCCTGTAGAAGAATGCCTTAGCAACGCGAATTCCATGCCTGCAGCTGGCAGTGCAATTCAGTGTTTTCACTCCTGCCCAATCACCTTTCTGCTTCTTCCTCCCGCTCTCTCCCCTCATCCCCCACTCTCTTGCCCCTGTGACCCTGCAACCTGTGTGCGTGGCATGGGAGCAGTGAGGACAACGTGGTGAATCAGAGACCACGATGCTAGCGCACATGGGGTATGAATGCACCGTCGCTGCCAACAGCCAGGATGCCATCCGCGGCCTGCAGGCACACTCCTTCGACATTGTGCTCATGGACGTGCAGGTGAGCGGTGCAATGCGATGAAGCAGTAGCAGCAGCTGCATCACTGGCAGCAGCAGCAGCACCACTGGCAGCAGCAGCATCACTGGCAGTAGCAGCCATTGTTGTCCCCCCCACCTTCTTCCGCTCCTCCCTTCCTTACCTTCCCTTTCCGCTCCCGCCCCTCCCTCTGCTTTCCCCTCCACCTCCCCCCCCAAAACCACCCTTTCGCTCATCATCATGTGCTGGATGACTTGTATCTGAACCTCGTTGACAGGTTCTATTCAATCAATCAACTGTGATGAGGGGAATGAGGCATCAACGCGGGCAATGAGACGGGGAGCATCGGGGGAGGCAGCGACGGGGGGAATGGGGGAGCATCGGGGGAGGCAGCATCGGGGGGGAAGGGGCAGTAGCTGGGGAGGCAGCATCGGGGGGAAAGGGGCAGTAGCTGGGGAGGCAGCATCGGGAGGATCTGACAGCTAAAGTGGAGGCATCAACGGGGGGAGGAGGGAGCAGTAGGGGAGGCATGACAGGGGGATGAGGGAGCAGTGGGGCCGGCAGCGATGGGGGAAATGAGACGGGGGGGTACCAATGAGGGAGATGTGGGAGCAGAGTGGGAGGAAGTGCTGGGGGATGTGGAAGCAGAGGGGAAGGCAGGCAGTGATGGGCACATTCTACTGCTATGATGCTCCTCTGCTGCTTGAGGCTCCCCGCCTCCCCCTGCACTACGGTATATAGGGAAGAGCATGTACCAAGCTTTTGGAAGCCGATAGGTTGCCCATGCGGGCAAGACACAAGGATGGGGAGTATTTGTAGGCTTTATCCTGTAGGGCCGGGATGCACCTCCGATATTTTGTGTTTGAATTGCGCCTGTGTGACTGTTGGGTAATTTTGATCGTATAAAACTGATTCACAACCTAAAAAGCACATGCAATAGAATGCCATGATGCTGGTAGACAAACGTGACAATAAAAAATGCTGCCTATAATGAGTGGATGTTCTTATAACGGTTGTTGTTTCATTGTCACAAATTCTATGTTACAGAAATTACAAGTAAAAAGTATTAACTATGCGCGAGGTATGCAGCAACTATCCCCCAGCACTGATCCACTTAATGTCACAAGTATGTTCCGTTTGGCATACTTTGAACTATGTTACAACATTCTTTTAGCATACTTTTTTGGGGCCGAAATTTTGCGCTAGTAGCGAAGGTATGAAACAAAGAGCTTGATACTCGGAACTAAATGACCAAGAAGTTGAAAAAGTCGCTCATATCCAGATCTCAGTATCTCAAGCTCCAAATCTTCTCTCAAAACACACCACGCTGACCTGCACGCTGGAGGTAAGGCGAGTGACGAGGTTACGCGCCGTGCTTGCGTTGCAGGAGGAGCTGCCAATCTCAATTAGGATCTCTAGGCCGTGTCGAAGCTAGGGTAAATGGCTAACGTGTTTCGCTGCTTTCGAGTTCTACCATGCCTTAAAGCCCGAGTACAGCATGGTAATTTTCAAGTTCAAGATTCTTGAACTTGAATTCGCCAATAACAGGGTTACCCTACTTGTTTTGAGAAAATTCTCGCGACCCCAGGCAATCGTCCTGCGACAACGGAACGCGAGTGCCCAAAACCAGAACTGACGCGATGATCGCCAACCATTTGTACTATTCACCACTCACATAACTTGCTTACCAAGTAGTACTTTTAGGCTAGGAGGCTCCAAGGCAAAAACTAGCGCTAGTTGGCAAAAGCGAGTCGTTGATAGGTGTTTTTTTTTGTGCGGAAGGAAAAATAAGTCCACCTCAACAGATGGGGAGAAACAGATGGGGAGAAACAGATGGGGAGAAACAGATGGGGAGAAACAGATGGGGAGAAACAGATGGGGAGGAACAGATGGGGAGAAACAGATGGGGAGGAACAGATGGGGAGGAACAGATGGGGAGGAACAGATGGGGAGAAACAGATGGGGAGGAACAGATGGGGAGGAACAGATGGGGAGGAACAGATGGGGAGAAACAGATGGGGAGAAACAGATGGGGAGAAACAGATGGGGAGGAACAGATGGGGAGAAACAGATGGGGAGAAACAGATGGGGAGAAACAGATGGGGAGAAACAGATGGGGAGAAACAGATGGGGAGAAACAGATGGGGAGAAACAGATGGGGTGGAACAGATGGGGAGAAACAGATGGGGAGGAACAGATGGGGAGAAACAGATGGGGAGAAACAGATGGGGAGAAACAGATGGGGAGGAACAGATGGGGAGAAACAGATGGGGTGGAACAGATGGGGAGAAACAGATGGGGAGAAACAGATGGGGAGGAACAGATGGGGAGAAACAGATGGGGTGGAACAGATGGGGAGAAACAAATGGGGTGGAACAGATGGGGAGAAACAGATGGGGAGAAACAGATGGGGTGGAACAGATGGGGAGAAACAGATGGGGTGGAACAGATGGGGAGAAACAGATGGGGTGGAACAGATGGGGAGAAACAGAGGTGGTCGCTTCCGCCACCACAATCGAACAGCGTTTTGATTCCCTCTCTGCTACCCACCATCCTCCCCCCAGCTCTCTCCCCGGCATCTGCCCCCGTTCCCCCCATCCTCTTCCCTGTTTCCCCGTATCCCCTGCCGTGCTTCCCCCCATCCTATCCCCTCTAACCCCGTCCTGCTTCCCCCCATCCCCTTCCCTGCTTCCCCCCATCCCCTTACCTACTTCCCCCCATCCCCTTCCCTGCTTCCCCTCATCACCTTCCCTGCTTCCCCTCGTCCCCTCCCCTGCTTTCCCCCCTACCTCCTCCCTGCTTCCCCCAACCCTCCGTCCTGCTTCCCCCCTCCCTCTGTCCTGCTTCCCCCCTCCCTCCGTCTAGCTTCCCCCCTCCCTCCGCCCTGCTTCCCCCCTCCCTCTGTCCTGCTTCCCCCCTCCCTCCGCCCTGCTTCCCCCCTCCCTCCGTCCTGCTTCCCCCCTCCCTCCACCCTGCTTCCCCCCTCCGTCCGCCCTGCTTCCCCCCTCCGTCCGCCCTGCTTCCCCCCTCCCTCCGTCCTGCTTCCCCCCTCCCTCCACCCTGCTTCCCCCCTCCGCCCGCCCTGCTTCCCCCCTCCCTCCACCCTGCTTCCCCCCTCCGTCCGCCCTGCTTCCCCCCTCCTTCCTCCCTGCTTCCCCCCTCCCTCCGTCTTGCTTCCCCCCTCCCTCCGCCCTGCTTCCCCCCTCCCTCCACCCTGCTTCCCCCCTCCCTTCGCCCTGCTTCCCCCCTCCCTCTGTCCTGCTTCCCCCCTCCCTCCACCCTGCTTCCCCCCTCCCTCCTCCCTGCTTCCCCCCTCCCTCCGTCCTGCTTCCCCTCTCCCTCCACCCTGCTTCCCCCCTCCGTCCGCCCTGCTTCCCCCCTCCCTTCGCCCTGCTTCCCCCCTCCGTCCGTCCTGCTTCCCCCCTCCCTCCACCCTGCTTCCCCCCTCCGTCCGCCCTGCTTCCCCCCTACCTCCTCCCTGCTTCCCCCCTCCCTCCGTCCTGCTTCCCCCCTCCCTCCACCCTGCTTCCCCCCTCCGTCCGCCCTGCTTCCCCCCTCCCTCCGCTCTGCTTCCCCCCTAATTTTCAGTGGGGAAGCAGAGGAGCAAGCTGAGGCGCAGCTAGTCAATGCTTTACACCGTACCACCACCTGTTTCTTGTGTGTTGTATGCAAGCATGATACTTCGCGACTGTTGGAGATATCCATCTCAAATGCACAATATGTTCTGTTGTTTCTGCAGTGCAAGATCTTCTTCCAAAATGTAATGACACTAAAAGTGTCAGAAGGGTACATAGAGGCATGTTCCTAATACTTTCGATTGTACCTTTTCAATTAAAGGCCTTGAAAAAAAAACATGACGGGAACAGGTTTCTCAACAAGCATGGCATGGGATGATGGGCTGAGGCGAGTTGCAGTAAGTGAAGACAATTCAGTGTAGTCACTGCAATAGCCAGGGAGAGGGAGGGAATACGAGGGATGGGGAGGGGGAACAAGAGAAAAGTCAAACAGGGGAGATATGGGAGATAGGGAAGAGGGAAGCAAGGGGGATGGGAAAGGGGGAGATAGGACGATGTGAGAGGGAAAGGGGATAGGAAGAGCGGGGGTGAGGGAAAGGAGGAGATAGGAAGAGGGTGAGAGGGAACGAAGGACCTTAGGAAGATGGAGGATAGGGAAGAGGGAGAGAGGGAAAGCGAGAGATAGGAAGATGAAACGAGGGGAAGAAGAGGGGGAAACGAGGGGAAGGAGGAGTGGATATGAGTGGAAGCAGCGGGGAAATGAGGGGAAGCAGGGATGGAAATGAGGGGAAGCAGGGAGGGAAATGAGGGGAAGCGGGGGGGGGAATGAGGGGAAGCAGGGGGGGGGAAAGAGGAGTAGCAGGGAGGGAAATGAGGGGCCACAGCGGGGGAAATGAGGGGAACCGGGAGGGGGGGGTGAGGGGAAGCCGGGGGGGAAATGAGGGGAAGCAGGGGGGGAAATGAGGGGAAGCGAAGGGGGGGATATGAGGGGAAGCAGGGGGGGATATGAGGGGAAGCAGGGGGGGATATGAGGGGAAGCAGGGGGGGATATGAGGGGAAGCAGGGGGGGATATGAGGGGAAGCAGGGGGGGATATGAGG